ACAGATTTTTGGACTAACAGATAGATAGATGGATAGAAGGACAGAACGTTGCATTCTGAATTTAAAACTGACGAAGAATTTATATACTTCATCGAGCTTTTAAAGCTTGCTTCTGCGCGTTATAAAGGTGGCGAAGAAAAATTTAAATTTTATTGCATTACAATATTGGGTAGATGTGGTCATGTTTCTCATTTTTTGCGGGTACTACGGTACAACACGGATATAAACATGCGATAAACGGAGTAGTATAGGCGTGTCCTTCAACCGATTTGGCCCATTTTCGACACCAGTCTGCGTACGAGAATTTCCAGTTTTTCTGCCAGCCAAACCGATTCAGAATTTGATGCTGTTCGAGAGTGTATGTACTTTGTGGGCTTTCTAAGATTTCGTTCTGGGCGTTGCAAACGTTTTGATTTGAATTGAATATATCCCTCACCTTTCGATGATGAGTATAAAAAATTAAAATTTCGTTTAATGCATCATCCTGGAAAATTGTCGTCAACTTTCTACTATATGCTTATGAGAGAGGAGAAACTCTCTCAGTTTAGGTTGCACTATAGTCGTGTGCTTTGAGCGATTTCTCCCATTTTCAATATTAACCTACGTGCAAGTACTTTAAATATTTTTTTTATGACGGTATATGCAAATTAATAAAATTTTTGGGAAGTGAACAAAGTTTGCTAAATTTTGATTACGTCATGCGATATTTCGGGCATACTACGATATGCAGACTTTCATGAAAAGTATGCCTTCGCATGAATGTAATTTGTACTTTTTGGTGTATAATTACCACAGCCAGTGAATAACTGTACTAGGCGAAGTGGTGAGGGCTATCTAACGCACTTGCACTTGCACTTGCTCGCCTATAATATTCTTACGCATTGTGAAATAAATTTGGAAAACAGAAATCTAATAGAGATTAGAATTTTAAAAAGACTGAAACGTCAAGGAACTCTTTGCATTTTTAGCGATAATCGGATTATGGAACAAAGTAATGCATATATCGACTTTGGTCCGATCCGAACTGTTGGCAACAACATTCGTCTTCAGACCAAAATTACTTAGTGAAGCAAATTTCATTAGAAATTTGCGGCCTGTATATGGAAGACAAGAAAACGAGAAGGATAGAGAGAGAGAGAGAGAGGTGAACCTAGTTTGATTCAGAAAACTCTAACTCTCAATTAATCGATACAATAAAAAGTTGATCTATTTTAAGTCTTTCTGGTTATTACATACCTTCGCACAGCCTTCAAGTTCCCTACGTACCACATATTGTTTAGGATACAACTAGATGCAGAGGCAATGTGACGTGAAACAATTCTGTGCACTTAATAATTATTTCTTTTCATTTTCATAATTATAGTAAGCAATAAAAAGTGTCGAACATTTAAAGTAAAGTCTTAGTAAGAAGGCAAATATTGCCTTAAGAAAATATGATAGATAGAGATAGATTATCTAATTTGAACTTTTCATCTGACGATCTTCTATAAATTTGTTATATCCAAAAAGGTAACATTGCATTGAATTTTGTTTTCCCGCCAGACAAGCAATGTCCTATTTTTTGCTACATTTACATCGACGTCATTGCACTCGCAATATCTTTTTTTTTTTTTTGCTCTTGTTTACGTTCTCTTGGTAAAGCTCGATACGGGTTTTTTGTTATGGATTGCTATTAAAATTTTTTCCTCAAGTTTTTGATGGTATGTGAAAGAAAACTTGCAAATTTTGCGATTATTTTAATACTTTAAAATTTGCACAACTAAAAGTTTATAGCTGTTTTTTTTTTTTTTTTTTTTTTTTGCAGTTAATGTTTTTACTTTAATAGCCAGCCAGTCATAAAATCCATGTCAGTTATTTATAATAATTACAATCTGATTTCAAAAGTTCAAAGCAACAAGTTCACAAAACAAAAAAAAAGGAAAAAACAAAATTATTGCAATAATTTATTAAATAATTTTTAATTAAATAAATTTTACAATATCTTTGTCAATAACTATCAGTTATAATTACATATACCAGGCACTGAGAAAGCTGATTTAAATTTTCTACATTTAAAGCGTGTTTGTACGTAACCGGACTAAGTATATAAAAAAAAAAAAAAATAAATCTTATAATAAAAATGTAATGTTCATAGGTGATATAATATACATAAAGATATTTTGAAAATTTTAGAAACATAAATGTGTAAACTCGATGTAAGCGATAATAGGCGATAGTTTAACAAACTGAAAGTGATGGAATAACAAAATCTTAAGTATTGCGTAAGATAATTGAGTTTGTCGTAATGTTAAGCAACAGGCTTATCAAGTTACACTTAAAGGAACGAATTCATTACAAAATAAGTAAAAACATTGTAATCATTCAAGAACGACTTGTACATCCCCTATCTATGCATTGTTTATCTAATAGATTTCATTATTTTGTTTACGGGATAAAAACACAAAAATTATATGTTCCTTTGTTTCAATGGCAAAGTGCACTGTCCGTGAGAGCTCTTATAAGATAGATAGAACTTGTTAGCAAAATCGCTTTCTTCGGCATCTATTTTCGTTGTCAAGTTTTCAAAATTTGATTTTATTGCCATATAAAGGATTATTTTATCATGAATCCGCCTGAGTCCCGCCGAGTAGGCAAGAGTCTCGACTAGCAACTTAATGGTTGTGGGTTCAAATCTCAAGTGCGGTCGAGTTTTTAATAAAACCGACAGTTTTAGATGCTAGTGCTTTAAGATTTTAGTTTTAGAATTTATTCTCTGGCTAAATTTATAATAATGATGAGCTATATAGAGAGAAGGGGATCCATAAGACAATTTGATTTGATTATATGATCTAAATTTATTACAACAAAAATAGATCCCTTTGCCATAGAGAAGCTCATTTCTCGTAAGAAAAGCGGCTGCGGTACGAACCGGTTCGAAAAAGTACCATGGTTTAATCGAAATTTTCCACATCAATTTCGTATGCGAAAATACGAATATTTAGCGATTTTTATCGAAAAATTTTCAAAAGTCTAACTGTTTTTCTCGTAATGACTATTTCGAAGAAAGGCATTATATATATGGGGCGACATTCATATCATTCGTAACCCAAAACATGTCATTATATTAGTGGGTAAATGACACACATGTTTAAATCGATTCGGAGAGTAATTCTAAATCGATGGCTATAACAAAAAAAAAAAATTGAATTTATTTCAAGTCCTTCTGAGAGTTACATACACCTGCACACACATAATATACTTAATATATATACATAATATATGTAGTTGGAGATATACTTTCATTATTATTATTTTTTTATTGTTTTTTTAAGTAACTCTTATATTACTGCACTGTATGTACACTTAAGAAAATTTAAATGGCACATAAAATATTTGCAAAATTGTAATTTATTTTGAAGTAATAAATGTGTCATGATTTTTCTTTTGGCTTAATTATTTGAATTTTTGAAACATATGCTAACCTGAAATACAATCAATAAAAACGACTTCAAACGCGAAAGATAAAAAAAAAAAAAAAAAAAAAAAAAAAACGATTGCAGTCGTGACGACTTCTTCAAGATATAACAGCATTTTTGCCTTAAATATGCCCTACACCACATGTGGTCCAAGGCTATATTACGAATGTATGCAACACTGAAGAGAACTTGACATAGGCATACCCGGTTGATTCGGTATCACTTTCCAAGTAGACTTAGGCTTGTCTGTCTGTCTGTGGGGCGAAACTTACGTGAATTTTCGAAGGATCACGTTTTCGTAATGCCCACCTATAAATGGTAGCTGTTAGGTTTGAAGCCCTGATTTATTGCAGTTGCTCAGGTACTTGGCAAAGAAGGGCTTAAGGTTTATGAAGACTTTTCTCTTGGATGCTTAAGAAGAGTATTGGAAGAGGATTCTGTTTTCCGAGAGAAAAGCACATTTTCGCCTTCCATTCGATAACCTGTCATAAACGCCATCAAATTTACTTAAATTCTGATGATACTACGAGGTGTTAGAGGGCTGGGGCACAGTTGAGTATGTACTGTGTGGTGACATATTCGGAAGCATTACTTTCTCGAGAAATGATAGTGTGCTGGATGGTTTTCCGGGATGTGTAGCGGTTCCAAAGGCGAACGTGGTTTCGGCTTCGTACGTAGCTATGTAGAATAGGATCAGATTATCCGTAGTAGCATTGTTCCTGGCATTACGATGCACTCTTCATCAGACTACCGGCATGAACGGTTTCTTGCCCGACCATTGGGTATGACCCGGGAGTGCCGTGTTGACGGTGGTTGCCGCGAAATTTCATGAGGCCATTAAACAATGGCAGATGGTAGACCTCAGGAATAATAGGATGGACTGCAATAGTGATTGTTCTACTCTTTAAGAGGCGTTGTTGCCGTTATAGAGAAAAGTTTGTATAAGAAACTCTTCTTCCCACAGAATTTTATGCGGGAGAAAAGCTAACAACATTAATAATAACAAATTCGAGTTAAATGGATTCCAATTACTATCCTATGTACATAAATATGTATAATGATGTTCTTATTTTCATTTAATTTTGATAATAATAGTAACAAAAATTAAACTTCAGTTATCAAAGTCAAAGGCTTTGTGGCAATTATTACTCGGCCAGCTGCCTATGAGAATATTACATGCATTTGGTTAATAGAATTTGCTGAGAAATTCTAGCTCAGATTTCAGAAGGGAAATGTTATCTTATCAAAATAAAGTTTTCAACTTAATAATAAAAAAAAAAAAAAAAAAAAAAAAAAAAAAAAAAAAATAGCAACAACAATGATAAGTGCAATGATTGTTAAATTTTTGATAAAAAAAAAACTCAATATTTATGTACATATGTGTGAAGTAAGGCGAGAGAATGGAAATATTCTACATTGATGTGAATAACATAACATAATAAGTTAATTAGTACATAAAAGGAAACAGCTACGACATGTTATAGAAAGAAGTAAAAATAAGAAATTAAAAGAAAATATTAAACAAAAAAAAAAAAAACAAAAAAAACAAAGGAAAGAAAAGAAATAATACAAATATCAATATCAATATATGTAAGAAAACTCTCTCATAAAAATAGCATTAAATTAATCACAAAAATGCTTCACGCCTTTAGTGCGGTTTCACCGTATTTAAAATTTAATCCGAAACGCGTAACGATAGATAATACGATATTCAAATTGCATTACCGTTGGACATTTATTATATTGATAGTAGCTACGATATTGGTTTGTTCTCGTCAATATTTTGGCGAACACATTAAATGCATATCGGATACTGTGCCTGTTCATGTCATTAATACGTACTGTTTTTTTACTTCCACCTTCACCGTGGTATGTGTATTAAATTTTGTGGTCATATATATACATACGCGTGCGCACACCCACACACACACACACACAATAGCAATAAATATTTTGTATTTTGTGTTTTCCTATAGGTACGCCATTTAAATAATACCGCTTTATCGAACGGTGCGATATTTCAACCGGGCATTGGTCCTTATGAGATCTACGAGGAACCGATTAAACGTCACGCTTATTATCAATGGGTGCCATTCTTGTTGTTCGGCCAAGCTTTATGCTTTTATATACCACATTTTTTATGGAAAACCTGGGAAGGTAATATTTACAGCATTTTCTCTTCTCTCTACTCTAATAACTAATGCAGTCTAACGGTTTATTAAAAGAACGTCCGAAAGCGTATATTATTGAACAAGATAAAAACAATACACTTTCAATTCATGTGAATTTCTAGGATGATTCAATCAGGCGTATCCCAGAAATAATTTAGTTATCGATTTTCTGCCTCAATTTTGCAAAAACAGAAAAAATGAAAAAGAAAGCCAAGATTAACGGGCCGGCTGTTCATTAAAAATGCATTTGCATTTCATTTCGCTATATATGCCCAAACGGTACCTTTATCATCTAAGCACTCGCTATAGATGTACGACGCACGAGCACCGACTGGGCAGTCGCGTTTTTCATTTCAATTCAATTAACTGCTGTTGCTGTAGTCTCCTCTAGTGATGGTTTCAATTTGATTGAAACAATGCGTAATAAAACACACATCCAGCTGACCTCCAAGAATTTATCTTGAACGTTAAAAAATTTGCACATTTCTTCTTTCTTTCTTTCTTTCTTTTAATCAACGCTCACTGGCTTTTTGTCAATGATCTCTCAGTGCGAGCCTAATATATAAAAAATCGTTTCTTTGCCATTTTCTCTTCTTGGAACATAAAGGAATGTAACAGCATAATAATATTCGAGAAAATTATTAAACGCTACTACTTAAGTATTAAAAAAAAAAAACAATTATTTTTGAAAAATATTAGAAAAAAAAGATAACAATACTAGAGACGATATTGCGAAGGACTCTGCGGTATTCAGTACGTGGTTGGTCCAAATTTCAATCTAGATAGAAAACAGCACGGAATCTACATACGTGTGGCTAAAAAAACGCAAAGGGTTTTTTAACAAGCGTTTTTTCTCTACGAGTAGCGAGTGTTCCATTAAAAAAGTTTTAAAACCTTTTCGAACATTCCTCTGCCGCATCTCTTCAAGGCATTGTTAAAACAATTACGTTGCGTGCCTGGAGAAACATGCCTTTAACCTTTCAAGTCCCCGCATAAAATCATATATATGTATGTACAATCATTTTCAGAAAATCAAATGCATTTAAGACCGTTTAAAATTTCCCTAGGCGTACAATCCGGTTGGAAATGAAAATTCTATAGATTTTTATTTAAGTTCTTCTTTAGCTCACTTCTAATCTACTATCCTTTAACATTCATGTAGATTTTTCTTATACGTCATTTCGTATTTATACCCTACGTCAGTTGTGATCTAAGCTCGTCTATCTGTCTGTCCGTTTGTCCGTCTGCCCGTCTGTTCCCATGTCCATGTAAATTTGTGTTCAATCTACCGTTCATAATTTTTGAGATATTCCGATAAAATTTTATGCTTTGGGTCAAGGACGAACGCTATTCAACATGATTCGGGTCGTTCCATTTTTCCGACCACTGCCCATATAACGCCTTATTTTGAAAAATTGTTACGGGGCAAAAGATTACAACTTTTGCTATCTCTTGTCAAAAGCCACTGACTAATAGCATTTCGACATTGTAACGTGGTATGAAAAATTTGGTTAAGCTGCGACATTTTTTGAAAGTTTCTCTCTTTTATAACCGTTTCTACGAAACTGAATCTTTATGTGATAAAAGGATGTAATTTTCAATAATTGATGGTGAACATCATTTCATAATAATAAATTGACAAATAAATCAACCTTAGCTAATTCGATCCACGTAGGTCTATTTTTGGGATACCCTCGCATATAAGGATTTCCAGAAAATATAATCCCTTCAAAAGGTCTAACTGTTAATATTTTATGATGATTCGTGATAGTAATTTGACGGAATAATTAAGCGGATCGCATGGGCCTATTTCTAGGTACCCATTCCATATAAGATTTTTCATGAATAAGTCCTTCAGAACAAAATTTAATTTTTTATATAACTTATGATGAAAATTGGTCCACAGTAGCAATATAGCAGAAAAAAGTAGGGACGGGGAATTGGGTTTCCGCATGTCCATTTTTTTAACATATAGAGGGGTATCATGAAAAGCAACGCCTTATATGGAGAGAAAGTCTATTTTTTACTTTTTTATGATGGAAAATGAAAATTGTTTTTGGGATATAAATTAATTTTGATTAATTTGGAGCACGCCATGTGCTGTTGTGCGTATCCTCCAATATGCGGGCTTCCATCAAAAGTATCCCTTTGCATGAAAATAATGTTTGTAAATTTTAGTGTATTATAATCAAAACGAGTGAACGAATACTAGGCGAAGTCGTGTAGGGTATCTACCTGTCGGCCTTGCCCGACTACAAATTGCCTTCTTGTTTCCTTATACTTTTTTTTTTTTTTTTTGCTTTATATTAGGTGGGCGTATTAAAGCTTTGGTTTATGGTTTAAAAATGGTAAGCCTATCGAAATATTTGAAAGAGAGAAGCTTAAAATACGGCCAACTGTCTATGCCTTGCCTGGAAGAGACCGAATGCCGTATTAAGGATATACGTCGTTCGATGATTGAACGTATGCGTTTAAATAATTCGTGGGGAGCGCATATGGTCTTTGCGGAGCTATTAAATTTACTTAATCTTATGTTACAAATCTATTGGACAAATTTATTTTTGGGTGGCGCTTTTTATAGCTTGGGTGCAAAAGTTTACGCCGAACGTTGGACTGAACAAATGGACGCTTTAGATATCGTTTTCCCGAAAGTTACTAAATGCCATTTTCATAAATATGGTAGCAGTGGGTCATTACAAATGCACGATACTCTTTGCGTTATGGCTTTAAATATAATCAATGAGAAAATTTATACCATTCTTTGGTTTTGGTATGCTTTCCTTTTCCTCTTCACTCTACTCGGCCTAGTGTGGCGGGCTTCAACTTTTCTCTTTTACAAAAAGTAAGTTTTTCAAACCGAGATTTGAAATTTAAAAAAAAAAAAAAAACCCTAAAACTCTTATGTTTATCAATTGCAATTATTTAGCATCAAATTCACTCGTATTTCATTCTATTGGGCTAAGCCTGGCAAAATAGACGATCACGAGCTAACAGCTGTAATAAAGAAATGCAATTTCTCAAATTGGACATATCTGTTTTTCTTACGCAGCAACTTGTCCGAGTTCGTTTTCAATAAGGTTATCTATCATTTATCCAGTGAGTTTCCAAGTGAACAAAGGGAGAACGTCATCAACGCTGCTAAGCTCTCGCCAAAGGATGACGATCTGGGTCCTAGTCGCTTGCAAACTTTACGCATAGACGAAATAGGTTCGCCATTATTGGAAGAGAAGGGAACCAATAAGTTAGAGTAGTTAGTAGTTGTGTCGTTCAAAGGCCATTTTTTTTTATTTTTATTTTTTTTTTATTTTCTCTTTGTAAATAAATATTCTAGATTATAGTAACTGCGAAAATTTTAATAAAAAAAAAAAAAATAAAATAAAATATGTTTTGTTTACATATTAGAGATTTTATTTCGTAAAGCGGCAGTGCAGTTTCACAATGAAACAGTTGATGATATGTTGAACTTGTAATTAAGGCCGATAGCCTGTGTTGCTAGTGCTCAATGTCTCTTTTTTTAGTCTAAGAATTCAATTCATTAGTCTAAAATTAAAATAATAATAATAATAATAATAATAAAAGCTAAAACGGATCAAAGTAAATTATTCTTGTAGTCGAGACGATGCCAGACTGTATGGAATGTGACGGAGTAGATGAGTATTAACAAATAGTCATAACACTAAAACCGCCGCCTGGTCAAATGGAATGGAAAATTAATTTTTTCCTTTGTATATCCGCCACCCAAGTATGCGGCGTGTATTCATTTTACGTAAACGCTTGGAACGTCTGAAAGGCAGCTTCAGAAAACCCACAATCAATTTAAATCAATCTGGGTGTTTATATGTAACACGGGCGTACGCGTCCAAACGAACTTAATATACCTTGTACCACAAATGGTATAAGGTATAAAAATGTGTTATTTGTTGGGTGCAAAAGCGAGTAGAATTGAAAAAGCTTTGTGCCTGTGCATATGGTTTGATCGAAGCAAACACATTCACAAAAAATAATAATTTATAATAGAAATGGAAATTGAAACTGTTAAAAATGAAAGCTGGATTATAATGCGCTTATAAATATTGATCTTGTGTAATCAGTTAGGGAGTAATGCGGAATAATAAGCTCTTGAAACTCCCATCAGGTGAGTTCTTTTCAAACAAATATAAATGTTTTTTTTATTTAGAAACGACTCTGGACAAGCGTTGTCCTATTCCAATCAAAAGACTTGAATTCTTCACATTGTACGTAAATGATGAAAACTTTCTATCGCTCGATTATTGCATTTGGAAAAAGAAAGAATTTTCTCATATAACTAGTCATTAGCTTTTAATACACTTGCAAGTGATTTTGACTCTGCACTCCTGTATTTGCAATGAACCCTTATTCGGGTTATGCGTATGTCAGTACGTGTGTGGGCGTGTGTGTACAACACGTAACAAGTCACATGCATTATAAATTGAAATTTTTTAATTAAGTTGCTTAGTCTTTTGATCCTCTAATCGTGCTATGCAAGGATACGTGTTGGATTCGCTACGAGTGGAATAAGGCAGAGATTTAAAGATGATTTCTTCTTTATTTATTTATTTATTTTTTTTTTTTGATTCTCTTCGATACGATAGTATTTGTTTTTTATAAAGTCTTGATATGATTCGTCTTCTAAGCAATTTATGTATTCATTTAATGAATAGAAGAAGAGTTCACATTTGCATATTTAACCTCTTAAATGATTTTAATTGAGTAAATAAATGATTAGCACATTTATTACACTTATGTGCTTAACAGCCAATGTACGTGGTTGTCGCGACTAATTTGTAATTGAAATTGTAATGAATTCTTACTAAATATATATTTTTGCAAAAATTAAGAACACATTTATTTAGTCTTTTTCTTCTTCTTCTTCTTCTTCGGTCTTTACCGACTCTTCAAAAAAAAAAAAAAAAAAAAAAAAAAAGAACTAAATAAATAAATTAAAATAAATAAAAAATTTATATTTGCACCTTTTAAATAATTTCATTCAAATGTCTCTTGCCCTCTCTCTCTCTCTCTCTCTCTCTCTCTATCTCTCTCTCTCTTTCTCGTTCTTGCGTGGGGAAAACCGAAACTTGAATACAAGTTTTTCTATTGTTAAATATAAAACATATGTAGATTTTTATTGGTTTTAATTGTTGTAGTCTATTGGTTTAATCTGCGTTACGATAAAATTGAAATGATCTAAATTACAAAGGTTCAAAAGGTGTTTTTCGAATTAAGCGATAATAAACCGATGAATTCATTGGGAATTAAGGCAAATCAATAAATTCTCATTTTAAAATGCCATTGAAAATATTTTTAATTCTTTTTTTCCATATAAATTAAAAGTTTAGCTTAGAAAGAATATTTAATTTATTTTAACATATTGTAACTGTCCTTATATTTTGTAATATTATTTACAAATACAACCGTGTAGAAGGTCGAGTCGTTGACAAGTTATAGATGCTGAGGGTAAGTTTTTGTCAACTTGGGAAGAAGGAAAAAAAAAAAAAGAAGAAGCGAAATGGATTCTTTGGTGAGGAGAAAAAACAAATGTCAAACGTCGAGAAAGCGTAAATCAAATTTTAAAAGAATTTGAGTAAAAACGCTGACCTATTGCTGAAAACATTGAATAAATATCAATTATAATGTTTGTGTTATATTTTTCAATAAAGTCTCACTAAAATCGATGCTTTAAACGTTTTAAGATGTGAAAAGGAATCGAACTGAAGAATATGCGAAAAATTTTATGTATGATCTGACACCATATTGTAATAATTGTTTTTGTGATCGCTTAATCTATATAGGAAAAAGGAGGGCATGAACGAAGAAATAAAGGTAGTGAGGTGGGAAAAAGGTAGAAAGTACTAAGTACGCTAACAGTGACGAACATTTGATATCATGGAAATTGTGTAAGTAATACATTTCTGCGGTGATAATGTTCTATATGTAATACTGATTCCAAAGAATATAGTCTGATATACGTATTTAAAATAAAAGAATAGCAACAAATAACACTAGATTGTAATAACATATGAAATTCATGATATCTAAAAATTATATATGCGCATGTTATATAGAAAAATGAATGCACAATAAGTTGACTAAAAAGAAGGATCCTGCTAAAGCTATGTAAGTTGTTGTTGCACCGTTTCAACATAAAAACTATACAATGACATGTTATGCGCGGTGCATAAAATAAAACAACAAATTGATGAATATAAAAATATAGATAGCAAATAGACATTTTGTGTTCTATTGAAGGGAACGTAGCTTAGGGGTTGTTCGACACAATAGGCCGAAATGAGCTATGCCGAACTTTACTCTATATATCTTACTTTATAATATTGTGGTTCGGTATAAAAATGATTATTTCGATCAATCTCAAGAGTCACATCGTGCTATGACACTTGGCACTAGAACTAAACATTCTACTAATAGATATAAAAATTCGTTTTCCGCCCTTTACTCAAAAAAAATAATCCTGCAGGATGCTAAGTGAAATTTTGACTGCTTCATTTCAAAGTACTATGGTTAAGCAATACTCAACTGTATAAATTATCATTTAATTTTTTATAACTTGTTAGGAAAAACTTACTTTTTTCTATTTCATCCGAAGGGTAGTGCCGATAAACCGTTACGAGTGACAAACAGTGAAAGCGGTATGTTCAACCACCCCTGAGACATCGATGATAATGTTGAATATCGATGGCGGCCCTATTGGTGTGATGCAAGGACGAAGATGGAGGGGGGTTAGGTGGCCGTGTCGCGTATTATCTCATGTTCTTCATGAGAATTCGTTCATAATAATAATTTGATATAAAAATTAACTTTGCCGAATTTGGGATCGATGTAGATCTTGTAGATCTATTTTTTGGATGCCAACACATATAAGGTTACGAATGAAAACTAAGGCTTTATATGCCAAAAGAAAGCCTAATTTGTGGTTTGTTATGACGGAAGCAACTGGCAAGTAGTGAAAGCTTTAATAAATAAATTAATTTTTCGAAATTTCGATCACCTTGACGTTTCAGTATCCTCTAATATGAGAGCTTTCATTATTATTATGCGTATAATTTTTGATGTATAGTTAATTAAAAGAAACGGCTTAGAGTATCTAGTGATTGGTCTCACTACATAGCATTCTTACTTGTTTTATTTTTAAAAACTGTTGACTAAGAACGGTGATGCTTGGGATTATAGCTTGGAATCATTTGGCAGAAAATTAACGGCTAGTGATCAGCATCAGTGTTTGTTTTTGGAATAAAGGAGTAAGTAAAGGTGTGATAGATGAAACTTGTTTGCTTGATTTTAACCTTTTAATTTTTTAAAAACATTTTATTATTAATGATTACTCGAAAATTACTTAATTATCTTGTTCGCTTTTCATTATTTGTATTTTATGGTTATTATATTTTTCAATCATTAGCAAACTTTATTTTAGTATGTATGTATAGTCACGTTTATATATAAGTGCTTCTTAGAGCTGCATTTAGATATTTTTCTTATGATTTTCGTCTAAAGAATAAAAAAAAAAATAAATAAATAAAATCAATTCTCCTATGACAGGTTGTTATTGACCGCAATATGTCACAGAATTATTTGATAATTTCAATATATTTACATAGTACGTGTATATAATGAAAAATGAAATGTAAAATTTAAAATATATTTCTAAAGTTTTCAAAATAAGCTCTTTATGCCCCCTCCGTTTTTATTTGGTAACATAAACCAACAAATTTGCAAAACAAAACTGGTTTTCCACAACCAGAAACAAGTACACAATAAGCCTTCCAATGAGTTAAGTTCATTATATTTTATCTCGAAATGGTTGACTTTTTTCAGTTTTCTATATCAAAAAATTATTTTACATAAAGTGTTCATTCAAACGATTGTCAGAATGTATCCCATGGCAAACACTTCGGATTTTACGTATCGTAAGTAAACAACTTTTTCTTATTGAAAGTTTTTCATTGGTATTCAGAACTCTTCAGGAGATATATTTTTGAATACTCTTGTAGATACCTTACTCTAAGTATAAGACTTTTTTTTTTTTTGTTTTTTTTTTTGTTTATATACTTTTTTTTTAAACGATCAATCACTCAAGGGTAATGGCCGCAGCCTAGTGGGCCTGTGTACCCATTCGGTTAAACTTTTACCGAATGAACGCTCATTTAAGCTGCGACCAAAGTAAACTCTATTATACTGAGTACACCCTTGTAACGCAACTGGTGTAGGGTGTGAAAATTGAGTCTGGCATACAAATGAGTTTTAACACGTACTAGAAACGCTGAACTTGGCAGGAAACGTGTTAAAGTGTAAATAAACTCAGATTTTTCG